GTGCAACCCCTCCCCCTTTCTTCCCCACTCTGTCCTTTCTGTACAGTTTGTAACCCTCAATATGTACCGCCCAGTCATGAGAAGAATCCCACCAGGTTTCTGTTAGCCCCAGTCTGTGTCTGTACTGAGAAGGTGTTCCTGAGTGAGTGCATTCAGGGCATCTTTGACTCCTTAATCCAATGATTCTCAATCAGGCCACTGTGAGATCCTTGTCAGGGTGTTGCACAATATTAGATCTGTTAGGTGTGCAAATACCTACACATGATTCGCAAGATAAATCCAAAGATTTCATGTAGGAATCCACAGAGTCAAAACCATTCTGACCTGCTGTGGTCTTTGAGTTCTTTGCAACAGAACAGTTGCTCAGTAGTTTTTCAGTAGTCGAAAGAGGAGTGAAGCTAAGAGCTGGCATTTTCGAAGGGGTGTCTTGGGTCAATAAAAGGTTGAGGACCGCTGTTTTAGTTTATTGAAAGAAAGCAAGATGGTTCAGACTCGTCATGTGGGAATAGATGGCCAGAGCTCCTAGATAAATGTCACTAGCTCTACGCAGCTCTTACTATCGCTTTCTTCACAACAGCACTGAAGTTGTACTACATGTCGTGCAGCCAGCTTGCCTGCTTCTGGTGCCCATCAGTTGGCAAGATGGTGCTCACCTTGAGAGGTACTGTTCCCTTCAGGCTAGGCAAAGAGTGAGCCTCTGTCTTCTGTTTCTCGCTCATGCTTTCTCCTGTGATCCCACGTGCACTTGGTTTGTTGTCGGGTATGTTCCATTATGTGTCCACTGAAAAATTACTGTGACCGATAACATTGTCGGGCTCTGTTTGACACATCTCAGCAGCTTTTGAAACGAGCTTGTTTAACTGCATGCAGTTTGTCCTACCAACCAGGCTTGCAAATTCAGCTTGGGTTCTGACAGAACCTGGGTTGCTTCCTTCTAGCCCGTTGCCCTCTTGACTGGAGGAGCTGCTCGGCAACCCACTATGAGTGAAACAAAAATCTCCAGGTATTTTTGCAAGGTTTGCACAAGAAAAGATGAAGGTGAGACTTGGTGGATTCAGCAGTTGTCTTCACTGCTTAAAATAATAAAACTGATCTTTGGTAACCAGCAGACCAGCTCTCCCAGGACAGGTGCATAGAGAGGATGGAGTGCTTTCATTCTCCTATGAGATGAACTTGCTAAGGGCAAGCTCAGGTGAGGATTGTGAGTCATCCATGATGAGCTGGCCTCTTAGTAGAATGAAAGGATCCTTTTCACTGTGGGAGAGCTGACATGTCATGTACTCTAAGGTATGAAGCTTCGCATGTTTAGCAGTGAAGACAACCTTCTTAAAGAAAATAAAAGTCCATTGCACAAGCCAAAATGGCGTAAGGTTGTGTTTGCTCTAGGACAAGTGCTGACTGCCTCTTCGGGACAAGCAGAAAAATAAAACAGTCCCTGGAGTCAGTAGAGAACACCAGAGGACATGTGGAGAACATGCCTGTTGGCTCCTCCACAGGATAAAACATCACTTGAAGGTCTGTACTCTCCCAGTGTGAACCCTGTGTGTTGGACTCGCTCCTGGTTGCAGGCTGGGTGAGCACTCGGGCTCTGGCTCTGAAAGTTTTCTGCTTCTCAGTGCATCTGTTATCAAAGAAAACAGCTGTTGGCCAGGAGTTCTGCTTCCATCTGTCATGTTCACCATTATCACAGGCTAGGTAACAGGTGAAGTGCTGCTCTAAAATCAACCAGTGTCTTCCTCCCTGGCTTGACATTACTGGGAAAATTCCCCCCCTCCCCACAAATAAAGATCTTCAGACTTTGAACCTTGTAAGGAGGGGGAACTTGCTGGCCTGGTGTGCCCAGGAGTGGTGCCACACCTGGCAACTGGAATCACCTGCTCAGATCTCTGGCATCTCAGTGAGTGTAGCACAAATGTGAGTGGGCAAATAGACTATAAATCTGTTTGTCATTTCACAATCAAACTTCCTTCATGATCTTTCTTCACACTAAGGAACAGACCCTGGCTTCCAGTACTTTGCTTTTCTACAGCTTGCTCCATCTCAAAATCTCTAAACACCCGCAGCATTTTTCTTCTCTGGCTGCTTTTACCAGCTGATTACAATGCTTGTTGTACAGCTGGCCAGGTCTAGTGATGGCAAAACCCTTCAGGGTAGTTAATGTAGAAGAAAGTGGCTGTCTAAGTTAGTGAAGAAGCTGAGACTGAAATTTCTCTGGCTTCTAACATGGGGGACAGTGGACAGCAGGTGGGTGAAAGTGCTGATTTCACTGCACTTGATTTCTAGCCTGATTGATTGATTGATTGATTGATTTATTTATTTATTTTTTTAAGCTTGAATTCTCATGAAGTTTCAGTTATATCATTCCCCTAGTAATGGATGTGGACTATATCAGTGATTCTCAACCTCTGGCCTGTGGAGCCGCATCATCTGGCCCATGGGTGTGGAAAATTTTAGGGGGGGGGCCGGAAGGGGGGGAGTGGCAATGTTAATTGCTGTTCCCCTGCTCTCAATATTTCTGGAACCATGGGGAGCCCCATGGGCTGGATGATGCAGCGCTGTGCGCTAGATTGTGCTAACTTGCAATGAGGTCAGCATATGGGGTCACTCTGGAACACAGCTGGGTTGGCGTACAGGCTTGGGCTGGCGTGCAAGTTCAAGAAGGCACGTGGCTGGATTCAGTGCCTGAGATGGGCCATGCAAGGTGTTGAGTAGGCATGCGCAGCCAGATCTGGCATGTGGTACTGGGCCAGCATGCCCGAGTGCACCTGTAGACTGGCTGTGTTTGGCATCTAGCCTGTGGACTGGTCCCATGCCACTTGTCCAACCTGCAAGGCCAGAAGTTTGGACACCATTGGACTATGGTTGGCTTCATGCCCCTTAGAAAGCTGATTTTTCTAGTTCTCATCCTTAACATAGTGACTTCTCAAATCATGCTGAGAAAACAAAAGAAAGGCAAGATGATAATCAGAAAGATGTGGTCTGTGGGTTTGCTTTAAAAGGTATGCTATCGCTTGAGAATTCAGGGCTTGAAACCAACCTTGTTATTAAGGCTTAGGAACCTAGATCTTTAATTTCTAGCATTCTTGTTACATATCGGACCTTTAAAATTGCTGCCAGTCTCTCTTAAAGCAGTTCTTACTATTCTAAGGCCTGGCCCTTGGAGCAACATGATTTTCAGCCCCTGTGTTGCTGCTATTGAGAAGAATCACGTGTACTGGTTTTGTTGTAGGATCCTTTATGAAGGTGGGGCTGCTGGTGTGGCAGTAGCTGGGGGCCTACACAGATCTGGGGGCATTTATATACATACGGCTTTACCTACTTGTGTGGTTTAATTTCCTCTTTGTTCCTTGGCTATAATGAAATACATTCTGCATTAGGATTCAGTGACCCAGCTCTCTTCTCCATGCTGGAGCTGTGAGCACCCCCTCTGCTAGACCTGTCCCGACTAGCAAAATAGGACGTGTGTAAAAATGTTTGAGCTACCTTGAGAATATAGAGGGCTTGATGCTCTTTAAAACACACTTGGTGGTCGTGGTCAGTCCCAGGCTCTCTTCTTCTTCCCCTGCAATTATTGATCCTAATATTCCTTCCTACCTCCATGTAGCTGCATGGTGGCATTTGGTTTGGGAAGTGTTTTCCTGGCAAAATCTGCCAGATCATTTGGGAACAGAATGCACAGAGGAGGCAGCAGGAAGCAGGCGGGAGCTGTGGCTTTGGGTGGGGTGGGGGCTGTCTCTGGGAGCTGTCATCTGGAAGCCATCAGCAGGAGGGGGAGGGAGCCTCTCATCTGATCTTACCAGGGCCACACACACAGGCCAGCCCTGCAGGGACCTTAGCTTAGATGCCTGCTGAATCTTTCTTCTGCAGTGGAGAACTTGGGAGGGAATGTAAGGAGCCTAAGCCACTCACTGCTGCCCAAACAATTTGCTTAATCCTCAATCCAGCCGCCTTGCTGCCCAACCCCTCTCCTTGCTACTGTTTCTATTTACCTGGGGGATAGAAGCAGTGGTGTACCAGCCAAGCACATGGTAAGTGCTGCTCTCTCCACTGTAGCAGAGAGGAGAACACATCCTGTCTCTTCCCATCTGTTTCCAGAGGGGTTGATCCGACTGCTCCGTGACTAGTCAGTAGTGCATGCGGGAGAGTCCACAGGAAGTCAAGGTTACTGTAGTCACTTAAATTTGGCTGGGAGTCTTAATGTGATTCCCAAGCCAGAAATCTGTCAAGGGACTGGAGCTGTCCTTTCTGCTTACAAGGCATACCTGGGCTCTGTGGTGGAAAAGCTCTTAATTTTGTCTCTTCTGAAAATGCCCAGGGTTGTTTTCCCTTTCCTGGGGCATTGGGGTTTTTTGTTTGTGCTTCCTCGGGCAAAAGGGCCACCTACTGAATTACCACCTTCTTCAGCATCCTAGATTTCAGTGAAGTCCCTCCAAGCTTAGCGTCTCTCCCCTTTAAGTGATTGGGATTCCAGAGCATGCTGGGATGAAGGCTTATTTCAGTTTCTTTTGGCTTCCAGTCCACATCACTGTTGCTGAAAGTAGCTAGTTTTCTTATTGTCGGTGAAACTCAGCAGTTTGAATTTGTGATTACATACATTCACTTCCTGAACTGAAATACCTTGGGCAGGGAATAGGAAGTGAGTTCTAGATGTATTCACCCAGCTCCTCTTAATTGCCAGAAACCAGCATGGAAATGACTCCTTCACCCTCCTGACTCCAGGTGTACTTTTAGGATATGATCAGTGTCTGGCATAAGGGCTTTTGATCTGCAGTGTAGAAGGGAAATGCAGGAACAGTCATTGGTCCTTGTCAGAAAGTACAGCTCCTTGAACTTTGGCTCCTAATCCAGTCCTTGTAAAGTAGGTGGTGGCTGGAAAGAATCCCCTCCCCAGTATCATATCAGTATGTTAAAGCGGTGCCCTCTGTAGGAAGGAGTGGGAGGGTAAGGTCTTGGGCATTGGTTATTGCTCTTTTCTAACCTGCTGTGGATTTCTTTTGCAGCCTGGCTAACATCCCATTGACTCCAGAGACCCAGCGGGACCAGGAGCGGCGGATACGCAGGGAGATAGCGAACAGCAACGAGCGAAGGCGGATGCAGAGCATCAATGCCGGCTTCCAGTCTCTGAAAACCCTCATTCCACACACAGATGGGGAGAAGCTTAGTAAGGTGAGGTGGGATCTGCAGACGGCCTGGTCTGTCAGCATCATTAGCTATACTCCTGGTGACATCTCTGTTCCAAAGCATGTGGTCATTCTGTCACTTGGGAAAGAACTTCTCAGCCCGGTGGATCTGGGTAAAATACTGAATACAGTAGGCTTATTCAGAAGACTTCAGCTTACAGTTCAGGTTGCTTTCCCTAATACATTAGGGAAAGCAACCTGAATAAAATAAAAATACCCATATCTGAACTATGTGTGTGTCTGTAGCTTGATACCAACTCCATAATAGGAGTTGGAATATTAGAATAGGATGATAAATAACCTGAGCACTGAAATAACAATGAAGGTAGATATAGCATCATCCTTGTATCTAGTTAAAAAAACACAGCAGTGGTTTATATACGAAGAGTTATAAAGTGGGTGTGGGTCAGAGTCAAGGTTGTCAAATATGCACATTTTCATGTCATTGTTATTGAGCAAAGGGATGGCCTTTTTGGGTGTAGATGATCATCCCAGGCCATTGTCATGCTTCCCAATATTTTAATTTTTAAAGTAATGCTTTTAGTGAAGCTGGTATCACTGATGTACCTGTGCTCATGGAGCTTTCTGTGTTGCATGTATGCTAAAATGCACAGGACATGGAAACCTTAATAGCCACAGAATGCTGGGGATGGATGCACTTTTTTACAGGACCTCTCCTGCTTCTGCTGGGGCGAGTTCCACAGACTCCCTGTTCTTTGCAGAGCTGAGGAAAAGTTTTCTAGATCCTGGAGAAGAGTGAAGGTGTGACAAGATAATGAAAATAACTTTTTTTGTCAGCTGTGGGACTCATCAGTTTATGGAGGAGACAACTGGGTGTGCTGGTCATTCAGGATGAGCACAAGCTACCATTGTGAGTCCGCAAATGTCACAGATGTCATAGGATGGAATTTAAGATGTCTGCAGTAGATACAAAGAAGTCTTAATGCCATTGTACAAGGTACTGGTGAGGCAGCAGCTGGAGTACAGCTTGGGGTCACATGTGCAGGCAAGATGAATTCACAGTGGACTGATGCAGAGAGAGGCTGCCATGAGTTTCAGGGGAATGGAGAGTCTATTCTAGACAACCTCAGCTTTCACTTTGCTAAGCTAAGAGCCTCCAGAAGGAGATGGAGGGTAAATAGTGGGGAGAGAAAAGTCCTATTTAAGCTGAAGGGCAGTCCTGATGTACGAGTAACTGGCCCCCAATGAAAGTGGGCTCGCAAGTAAAGGAAGGTTCCAGCAGTCTGAGGAGCAGTGTCCTTTAGTTTTCTTCTGGTGGGAGCAGAAGGGCAGGAAACCTAAATGCTTCCCAGGTGGAACTCAGGTGTGGAAGAGATTGTCTGACCTGGTGCCTTCTCTTGCAGAGAACTGGACTTGACCCCAGAGGCACCTTGCATTCTCATGCTGTGTGCTCTGGGATATGGAGTTTGCATTGCAGTGTGGGGAACCTTTGCACCACTTTTACATGCAGCAGGCTTTGAGCTCTGCTGGAGAAGGCATGCACTGGATTTCTTCCCCCTGTGTCTTGCATTTCCAAGGACTGAGAGTCTTTCCTGTCTCTTGCAAGGCCAATGGAGCAGAACCCCTGCTGTCCTGGAGAATACCTGGGATTTACAGCACAGGGATCTCCTTTACTAGGGGATGCTCTGGCAGCTTTCCACAAGCAAACTGGCTTCAGCGTGCACAGTTAAAGTGCATTAGTGCTTCCCTGAAGCTGATTAATGCTGACTTTTACCTAGCCTCTGCCAGGATAAGACTGAGGAGCCCAGGAGAGTTACGTGGGTCCTGTGACCTTCAGCCTGCTGGGTTTGCCCTGTTCCCTTTGACTGAAAAACTTCTTGTTTCTCGTGCTCAACGCACAATAGTTCCTGCAGGTAGAATTAGCAGTGCTGTCTTCTCCTGATGCTGTGAGTGCCACTCGGAAGATCTTGTTTGGAGCCACGGGGACTCAAGGCTTTGATTCTACACCTGACACTTGTGAATCATGGGTTTGAACAGTGGGAGCTGCCAGCACTAAAGTTCCACAGGGTTTGTTAACCCTTTGCATTGCTTCTGTGGCAGTTCACAGCCTGAACCCCCAAAGAGCCAGGAGTGTGTTGCTGGGACACGTGTGCAATTGAAGTTGCAGCTAGTAAGGGATGTGAAGGGTAACCAGAAAGATTTCTACATGTATGTTGGTAGCAAGAGGAGGATCAGGGAAAGTGCTGGATCCCTTACTAAATGGGGGAAGCAACCTTGTGACAGAGGATGCAGAAACAGCTGAAGTGCTCAATGCCTTTTTTGCCTTGATCTTCACAGGCAAGGTCAGCGCCCAGACTACTGCACTGGGCAGCACAGTTTGGGGAGGAGGTGAGCGGCCAACAGTGGCAAAAGAACAGGTTAGGGGCCATTTAGAAAAGCTGGACATATACAAGTCCATGGGGCTGGATGGGATACACCCAGGAGTGCTGAGGGAGTTGGCTGATGTGATTGCAGAACCACTGGCCATCATCTTTGAAAAGTCATGGCAATCAGGAGAGGTCCCATATGGTTGGAAAACGGCAAACACAGTGACCATATTTAAGAAGGGGAAAAAGAAGGATCTAGGGAACTACAGACCAGTCAGCCTCACCTCAGTCCCTGGAAAGATCATGGAGCAGATCCCCAAGGAATCCATTTCTAAGCACTTGGAGGAAGAGAAGGTGATTAGGAACAGTCAGCATGGATTCACCAAGGGCAAGTCATGCCTGACCAACCTGATTGCCTTCTATGATGAGATGCCTGGCTCTGGATGAAGGGAGACCAGTGGATATGGTGTACCTTGATTTTTAGCAAGGCTTTTGATACAGTCTCCCACAACATTATTGTGGGCAAGCTAAGGAAGTATGGATAGGATGAATGGGCTGTAAGGTGTATAGAAAACTGGCTGGAGCATTGGGCTCAGAGACTAGTAAGCAATGGCTCGATGTCTAGTTGGCAGCCAGTATCAAGTGGAATGCCTCAGGGGTCAGTCCTGGGGCTGGTTTTGTTCAATGTCCTCATCAATGACCTGGAAGATGGCATAGAGTGCACCCTCAGCAAGTCTGCAGGTGACACCAAGCTGGGGAGAGTAGTAGATACATTGGAGGGTAGGGCTAGGATTCAGAGTGACCTAGACAAATTGGAGGATTGGGCCAAAAGAAATCTCATGAGGTTCAACGAGAACAAGGGCAAAGTCCTGCACTTAGGACGGAACAATCCCATACACCGGTACAGGCTGGGGGCTGACTGGCTGGGCAGCAGCCCTGCAGAAAAGAACCTGGGGGTTACAGTGGACAATAAGCTGCATATGACCCAACAGTGTGCCCTTGTTGCCAAGAAGGCTAATGGCATACTGGGCTGCATTGGTAGGTGTGTTGCCAGTAGGTCAAGGGAAGTGATTATTCCCCTTTATTCAGCATTAGCAAGGCCTCATTTGGAGTACTGTGTTCAGATTTGGGCCCCCCACTACAGAAAGGATGTGGACAAATTGGAGAGAGTCCAGTGGAGGACATCAAAAATGGTTCAGGGGCTGGGGCACATGACTTCTGAGGAGAGACTGAGGGAACTGGGCTTATTTAGTCTAGAGAAGAGAAGACTGAGAGGGGGTTTAATAGCAACCTTCAAGTACCTGAAGTGGAGTTCGAAAGAGGATGGAGCTAGACTGTTCTCAGTGGTGGCAGATGTTGGAATTGGAAGCAGTGGTCTCAAGTAGCAGCAAGGGAAGTTTAAGTTAGACATGGGGAAGAATTTTCTCATGAGGAGGGTAGTAAAACACTGGAACAGGTTACCCAGAGAGGTGGTGGAATCTTCATTCTTGGAGGTTTTCAAGATCCAGCTAGAGAGAGCTGTGGCTGGGATGATCTAGTTGGTGATGGTCCTGCTTTGAGTAGGGGGTTGAACTCGATGACCTTCTGAGGAGTCTTCCAACTCTAATTTTCTATGTTTCTGTGTTTGAGTGGCACTGGGAGAAGATTCAGACTGAAGCTTCTAGACAGAGCAGCATGCTGGGGAGGAGGTGCATGTGGGACACTTGCCTTTCCTTTGGCTACAGTTCTCTTCACCCACAAAACAGAGAACCATGTGAAGGGTCTCCTGCATTGCCTTGCCCCTTGTGCCTCAACTTGACTGGCAGAGTGTCCTGCCCATGGATGAGGGGGTAGGGTCTCTAGCTCATTCTGTTCTGTGGAGGGGGCTGGTTGGTGTCAAATGCAATAGGAGATGGTACTTGGAAATTTGTCTACTTGCAACTGGTAGAGGTCAAGCATCTCTTGGGACTGCAGGTAGCCCACCAGGTAACCCTCTGCCATAAATGGTTGCCTTCCTGGGCAGGGACTGGCCTGCCTGCCTGCGGCAAGTTGAGTGTGTTGAGCATGCTGGGGGTGTTACCAGTGGCTGACGTGAGGGGGCTGCGTGGAGTGTGTCTGTCTGGTATCTAGCCCAATTCACAGAGAGGGAGAAGCAGACCTGAGGCACATCTGGAATGAGCTGAGGCTCCAGCTGGGAAGGACACTTGCTCTTCACCAGTATACCAAGCTAAGCCAAGGGTGCATTTCCTTGTGTTGGGCAATCTCCTTCTGAGTCTCTGGCTGGAGCCTGGAGGGGGAGCACTTTTGGCTGTAGGGTCTGAGTTTCTGGTGCTGTTGTCTCAACTCTGCCATTGGTGTGGTTTGGCCTTGGGAAGGGTGACTGCTGCCTTCCTTGCTGCCAAGCTGCGCTTTGGTGCAAGGAGGCAGGCATCTAATGGGCTCTGTCCAGAAGAGGCACAGGAGAAATCTGCCAATTCTGTCCAGATTGTGGGGGATGGAGTTCAACAAACTGCCCTTTCCTGTTGACTTATCCTGTCTTCTGGGATTCTCCCCAGGCGGCGATTCTCCAGCAAACAGCTGAATACATTTTCTCACTGGAGCAGGAGAAGACTCGGTTACTGCAGCAGAACACACAGCTCAAGAGGTTCATTCAGGTAATGCAGCTGCTCTTCCTTTGTCATTCCGTTCCCAGACCTGCTCCCACACCCAACTCCCTGTCATCATGAGAAGTATTTGGTTCTGCCCTGGCTGCTTCTGTTGCCTGCCCTTCCCTACCTCCGCAGCATTGTTGGCCCAGTGGAATGGTGTTAGTTCTCCGATTCACCTAGTGGTGCTGTACTCAGGGCTAGGCCAGGCAGGCCTCCTGCTTCTCCTGGGTCTCTTCTAGATCAGGGAAGGAAATGCTGACCTGGAGCTTCCTGCTCCAGATCCTTGTGACAGGACAGAGCTGGGCAAAAGCCTCTTCCCTCCCTGGCTTCTCAGTCCCTATCTTCTCTTTTACAAATCTGGCTGTCACCAGGCCTTGGCAGAACACTCCATGGCACCTCTAGGAGCATGGTGCCCCCTCGTGTCCTGCTGGGTGATATTGACGGATGCAACCCAGATGTCTGAGTTATGTTGCTTCTGTCCTGCAGCAAAATTACTGAGGACTGTGAAATTCACAATGACCCGGCCGCTCAAAGGCTGAATTCCTTTTGGAGAGAGTGCTTGCTTGTGAATTTCCTTGGACTTATTGATTGGCACCTTTCTCCTGGAAAAAGAGACTGGGCCTTATTAAAACCTGCTCAGATGGGAAGTGGGGGTTCAAGCCAATCAGCTGGATCTTTTTGGGTCTCCTCTCCCAGCACTGCTGCAGCAGCACCAAGTTCCCTTGGACCTTCCTGCAGTTCCATACCCTTTGTGTTATGTGGCTGTGCGCCATTGGGCTCCACTCCAGAGGTGGTTGCCTTTTTAGTGGGGCTACTCATAGCATGTGCTGGGGTCTCTGGAGTGGAGAGCTCTAGAGCACTGCAGGGTTTGATTGCTAATACATGTTGCTATCACTGCGCTGCCTGGAGTTTGATGCCTCTAACTCTGATTGGCAGGAGTTCAGCGGCTCCTCCCCTAAGCGGCGGCGGGCAGAAGACAAGGATGAGGGCATCGGCTCGCCAGACATCTGGGAGGATGAGAAGGCAGAGGATCTGCGCCGAGAAATGATTGAGCTCCGGCAGCAGCTAGACAAGGAGCGCTCAGTCCGCATGATGTTGGAAGAGCAGGTGATGCTAGGTTGGGGGATGCGCTGAGGGAGTCATAGGTCTTCCATTTGGGCCCACTGCGTCCTTAGCCTTGATACGAGCAGGTGGACAAAGGAGAAGTGTGCTGCCGCCTTGATGCAGCAGGTTTCCAGTGTGGGAGGGGGTGGTGCCTCTGTTAGCCTCTGGCGTCTGGGCAGCTGCAGCCTGAGCCTGGGAGACTGCAGGCAGTGCAGAGGAAGGTGAGGGTCCTAGCATGCTCCACCTCCTCACTAGCAGAGCCAGCGTCCAGGGGAGGCAGCTCTAAATGCTGAACACCCATTGGCTCCCAGGAGTAGGGTGTGAGGAATCTTCAGTCCTATGGCACCCCCTAGTGGATGATGGCAGATGGGCACAGGCCCAGAGTTAACTGCTGAGAGGTGCCAGGCATTTGCTAGGATTGCTCTTTCTTGGTCTCCATGAAAGCCCTGCAGCTCTGAGGCTGTTTGGGTCTCTGAGGACAGTGGTGCCAGGGCAGCATGCAAACCACACCCCCAGCTGGACACTGTACTCTGTTTGGCTTGGTGTAAATGTTGCCCTGCTGATGGTGCATTCTGGTATGCCTCCCTGAAGCAGCTCCAGACTTGGTGTTTCTTTACAGCCCTCTTCACTGTCTCTAGTTTTCCCCTGCCCATTGTCTAGGCTGTGAAGTCTCTGCCTCGTTTTGTGGCCTCAGTGTTGCCAGAGGCTCTTGTTCCCTGACGCACTCTTTCTTTGTATGTGTTGGAAGGCAAAAAAAAGGCAGGTCCTTCAGGTCAGCTGTCTGTGGCAGGGTTGTGTTGTATTGGATGTCCATGTTGTTTGAGCTGTAGCTATAGGCTGTAATGGATAGGCAGGGGATCAGCTGACAGAGTCCCTCCAGACACTGAAACTTGGGGCATCTCACAAGCCTCTTAGGGGTACTCAGGGAGACATGGGATGGTCTAGCATGGGCCAGCCCAGAGCCGTTTAGAGGTAAAACCCTGAAATGCAAGCTTGAGTTAGCTAAGCACAGAACTCCTAGCAGGTGCTCCTGTGCTGGCTCTGAGCTGCTAGGCCCAGGGGTCTAGTAAAGCTCTCGGATCCAGTCCTGTTGTTGCCAAGCACTAGTTCCTTGATACACTTATGTCTATAGGACCTGAAGCCTGGGTGCTGAGCTCTAGCTTACCTGATTTAGGTAGAACCTCTCTACAGTGAAGATGGAGACATTGGGACTCTCACTCTGAGATCCCTGACTCCAGGCAGCTCATCGTCAAGGCCTTCAGGTTTCTTCCCTTCTAGAATTCTTGCACTCAAGGCCAAGGGGACACCATTTCTGAGTGCCAGCATGTGCTTTACAGTGGCACTCAAATGATCCTAGCTCTTCCAAGGTTTCCTTTCTTGTCTGCTTCCAGGCATTTTTCACGTATGTTGTTGCAACTGCTTGGCTGAGAGCTGGTTGAGCCCTGGTTTACTCAGTGTTGCTCTCTGGACTGAGGCAAGCCTGAGGAATCCTATAACACTGGAAGCTTTTCCATTGTGAGGAGCAGCAAGTCTCTGACCCTTCAGGCAAGGATTTCCTTCTTCCCTATTTCCTATGGAAGGTGTTCAAGATGGCTGACTTGGCTTGAAGCCAATCTGGCACGCTAAAAGGAGGACTACGTTTAAGAGAAGAGGCAGTTACCTGGCTACAAGTCCAGTCTAATAGAGCCATTGTGTCTACGTATGTAGTTTTAGATGAGCTGATAGTGGGTTGATGTGAAAATACGTACACAGACCCCACCCCTCCAAGTGGTAAATGAAAAATGTCATCTCCCCTCAAGATGTTCCTAGGTCTGTTTCTTCCACCTCTCCATACAGTCATGGTTGTGAAGGTCGCTATTGAAAGCAAACCACAATCAAGCCACTATCCCTTTGCACAGTCTTTGATTTCTGCTTTGAGCAGACGAAAGTCCTCAGAGTTCACCCAACTTTTTGCTGTTGTTGCAACCAATTTACTGAGCAGTGCTGGTGCCATGAGCACTATGTCTGAATAGTGTCCATTTGCATTTCCTAGTGCCCTGAGCTGGTTGGCTTGCAACTGGAAGGCTGGCCAGGCTCAAATGATTTTATCACTGGTGTTCTGTAAAGTGTTGTTTTGGCCTCTTCTTCCTGTGCTCTGCCTGCTGCTTTGACTTGCTCTAAGGACAGGGTAACGTTTCGGCCTCTAGAGCTCTAGAACTTCTGTTCAAGGCTCCATGACCCCAAGAAACCCTGTTTCATTTCAAGATGTCCCTTAAATATCATCATCATTAATAATAATAAAATTAATGTCTGAAGTTGTCTTTCCAATTTACCTGTTCCCTTGGATGCAAAGGCTTTAAGGACACAATATGCTGAAGAGTCATAGAAGTTTGGGTTGGAAGGGACCTCAGTAGGTCCCTTATTGCCTTGGGCAGG